TGATCTCATTAACTACCTGGAATTTGCCTACTAGTAAATTACAATAGTTACCTACTCTAACTACCTGGAAGGAGGTTGTTGTGAGGTGGGGGTCAGTCTTTTCTAGATAACAAATGACAAGAAGAGAGGAAGAGTTGTTCCAAGGAAGGGGATTGGTTATTAAAAAATATTTCTCCATGAAAAGGATTGTCAAGCACTGGAACAAGCTTCCTGGGAAACTGGTGGAATCACCATGCCCAGAAGTGTTCAAAAGGCATGTGGATGTGGCTCTTGGGGCCAGTGGTGAACACAGTGGTGCTGGATTAATGATTGGACTAGATTATCTTAGAAGTCTTTTTCAACCTCAGTGAGTCTATGTTTTCATGATTGTAAGTGTTCTTTCAATAATCAGCCAACAGATCCATCAGGATGGCAGCCCCTTCTAAGTACACTCTGTATTTCCTTTATCAAAACCAGAATTCATGTCATTCCAGCAGTGAGGTGTTTTCTTTCATTTTTGCTTCATTAAAATTAACTGTAGAGCTGGGCCATATTTTTTGTCCAGAACAATTTGCACTATGTCATTTTCTTGTTTAGTTTAAACAACTGGCAGTAATAAAACAAGAGCAGGTGAATGTGTTACTATGGTTCCTGTTTGTAGTGCAGAATAACAGACATAGAAAAAGAGCACAGAGGCAGGAAGGTCACACTCTTTGCCAAGATCTATCTTTTAATTCAGATTTTGGTATTTGTAAAGTTATTCTTTCTGATCATCCTTTGTTGGATGTGCAAATTAAATTATGTGATTCTCTATCCAATAACGTTTTTTGTTTTCCTTATTCTAAGTGTTATATGTCTAAACACAGAAAGAAGAGCATTCTAAATTCATGGGATGCAGCAGATACAACCTCATTCAAACTACCTTAGAAATGAAAAATCTGTCTGGCTCATGGTTTTGACTGCTACCTGTGATGCAGAGAGAAGAAAAGCACCAAGTGCTCTTACAGTTGCTAATTTATCATTAGCATAGTTTGTGTCTGCATTTGGTCAGGTATTATTTAAAATTATGTTTTCAGGGTATCAGATTTATTTCCTCATGAAGAGAAAGTTTGCTATGTGACTATGCTTTGCCAAATTAATGTTTCTACTTCCCAGCTCCCTTGTCCCACCTATCCCAGGTGAGGCCAGGAGAACACACCTGTCTCCAGAGACACTAAACACAATTCCTTTGATATCTCTCCACCTGACAGGCTGTTTTTGGTATAAGAAGTACTGCAGGTTCTAGAAGAGCTCAGCAATGAGAAGATGCTTTGCTGGTAAATATAAAAAATGGAGGGCCTTGTTTCCTCAGTCCAAAACAGACTTCATTGTAGCAGGTGTGCACTTCTTGAATGCATTTCATTGTGTGCAGCATGTTTGGACTGAAATGTTGCAGAAGACAGAACTCAAGCCATGGATTTACCTTTTTTTTTCCCTATTCACACAGATTGTTACTAATTTCATCTAAGTAATTCACCTAAGAAGAGATCACTAAAGCCAAAGGAAGGAAGCAACATGAGCTTTTTTTCTTAACAAGAAATCATGCACAAATAAGAAGTGTTTGACTTTTGATATAGTTTAGTTCTATTATATAATATAATTACACTAGCACAATATAATATATAAAATGCCCCCTTCAATTGTAGAATACATCTACCAATAACCTTTGGTCTGAGGAGAGCAACACAGTAAAGAAATCTCATTCTTTCTCAGTTCTGATAGCCAAGGATACATGAAAATTGCCTTTGTTACGAATAGTGTTTATTTTTTTTGTTTTGCAAAACAAAAGATATTGCAAATCCTTTCTGCCCTTTTCCCCAGATATTGATCCACCTTATCAGCTCTACCTCAGTCGTGTCAGACAGTTAGAGACATCCAGGAAGAAAAACTGTTATCTAAAGAAGTTTCTCACTTTCCTTCTTGTTTTGCTTCATTCTCTTTCTTACTAAGGAAAAGTAAAAAAAAGCATGCTTTTCTCTCTGATAAAAATTCACAGACACCAGCGAGGAGAAAAACTGGTCTGCTGCAGCACTTGCTGAGAACAAGCAATGACCCAGCATTATTCTCTGCCAGAACTGACAACACAGATCCAGATGGACTATCTGATCTCTAACTGTCTCTATAGTACAGACCATGTCAACATGTTGATAAGAGAGGGATGGATGTATTTGCTTGTTAATACTCTTGAAGGTCACAGGCAAAACTAAAATGGTAAGCAAAAGAAATTTGACTACTCACTCCTACTTACAGAGTGGCCATGTCATCTCTCACTGTAGAACCTCTCATGCCCCTCTATTCCCTTGTTGCAGTGACTTTATGGAGTAGCCATGCATGCATGTGAATGCAGTTTTTGAAGCGTAGTTTCTATGCAAACATGCTGAAATCAGCTGCTAAAGAATGTGATCAGTCTGGTTTTCTTGCCAAGCTCCTTAAGAGTCACACCACGAATTAAGTCTTTTTCTCAAAACAGAATAGCCAGTGTTTCTTTGTCTAATAAGATGGAGATGCAATCCAGAAATAAAATTCCTGTTGTCTCCGCAGATGTACTGAAGCTGGCTGGTGCTACAAAATGTGTATTCAATTAAGTCAAAGACTGTTGATCAACTGGCAAATATTGAAAGCATAAAAAACACACTGCAAATATATGGCAAATGTGCATTTTGGCAGGTGAACATGAGATTGTGAGTCTTCCACTCTTTGTCAGTTCTGTGCCGGGACCATAAAGGACTGCCATACAGGATGCAAGGATGCATTAGAAACCTAGTGTATGTCCACAAATGTCTATATCATGGCCCTGAAAGGCTGGCCAACACCAGAGTTAAAACTCCAATAGAGAGATGAAAGAAGATAAGCTGGGGTAGAAAGAGAGTGATCTAACCTTTAAATTTTAATTAAAGAGATACTAGAACAATCTTTTTTCTAATTGCAATCTTTACTTTAGGGAAAACAGGGCAGTTTCTTAAACCATGATTACTCTTGTTCTTATGTTTTCACTAGGATCACAGATGTGTAAAATACAGAGGGTGGGTGACAGGGAACTCTTGGAGGAAATTGTAGCAAGGGATCTTCCTATTTGATACAAGGCAATAAAAATCCTCATTGTGAGGATGAACAGCTCAACTGGAAATGTCCAACAAAGCAAAGAGGTCCAGCTTTATTTTGGCCATGTTTGAGTTGGGATGACTCTTCAAATAATTTCCTGCAGAGGTCCATTCTAACCTTAGTCTATTATTATATGTGTGTGAGCTGACAGCAGTCAGGCTTGTATACATATGAAGATCACTAAAGCCAAGTGGCTTAGAAAGAAATCTCAGAAAAGACAACATGTTTAAGCCACATTAATCTTGCTGTGAAATAAAAAGCTCATTTTGGAGAAATTACTTCATTTGAGAGCTGGGAAAACTCTCCATTTTTTTCCTCTCCAGTTTTCTAACAATCTATAGAGAAAAATGTTTTCTTGACTTAGTCTTTACTAAAAAGGGAGAAAGGTACATAAAAAAGTAAAACACAATAAAATTGATTCAGTAACAAGTAAAAAAACAGAGGTTATACAAGAATACACTTTGGCAAACTTAACTTTGTATTTGAAACTCTAGATATAGAAAGATTAGGAGCTGAGATGTATAACTGAGAAAAATTACTTTCAAAGTATTAACAGCATGAAGAAATCTGATTACTTCTAAGAAAACTAGCTCTTGAAAGAGAGCAAAGGCCAAGCTGAGCTAAATTAGAGTCTAGTAATTCAGAAAATGCCTTCCTGCAGATTAATTTCTCCAGTTGGAAGAATGTTTTTGAAGATGATCATCAAAAATGTTGTCTACCTGAATACAGAAATAGAAACAGCTGGTCAAATTCTGGAAATTAAGGTCTTCAAGTTAGCGATTAATCTTAGAGTTGCCCTAAAATGCCTCTAGTAAAAATCCTACAGCTGTTAAAAGACTGGTATAATCATATCTGAGTCAATTTTCCTAGCCTGTGGCAGTACAGTGGGCAGTTCAGGTCAAAGATGATGTTTCAGGTCCAAATAAGATGTAACTGAAAGGCTGCATCACCATCCCTCCTAAAGTCAATATTCATTCTGAGACTAATAATGAATGTCGCTTATGGAACAGTGAAAATTTTTGTCAAAACATACCTCTGGAACTGCAGTCAGACCTGTTTCAGCAAACTTTGCCTCTGACTTCAACACACAGAAGTAATGGTGCAGCCCAGGCTGATTCAGACCTTACTCGTCATCACTAGGGAGACAAGTAACTGATTCTGTGTGATTCCTGATCTATTTCAGAATATTTAATAAGATCTGGCATGTTTTGAAGGGGCAGAAGATGGGATGGATGATTAAAGTTTTTGTGAAAGTTTACCAACTTTATCTGTACTCTGTTGTTATATGCACTTTTGCCCTTAGCAGTAATTGCTGCAGTTAATTCTGTCCTGAGAGCAGAGATATGCCTCCAGAGACGAAGAAGTCTAGAAGAAACCATTAGAAACTTTCCTGTTAGGGACTCACCCATCATTTGGAAGATAAAAAGGTGTAAAGGTAGCTTGCTTTAACTGATTCACTGGTAACTTTGAAGCTGGTTAAGCTGAACACTATTCAGGGCCGGGCCATATATTTCTACCCTCTGGGTATCATCTGATACACATTACTCTTATACAAATAAAAATAATAAACCATCACAGCAGTAACCAGCTTGATGATCCCAGATGATTTTTAAACTACTGATTAGTGTATATCACAGAAGGAAATTATTTAAAACAAAATAAAACCCCTCCACACTCTGTCTTTGGTACTTCATTTTCCTGTGACCATGGTGTCTTTTCCTTGCACATGCCAACTAATGCTACCACCTCTAGTATCACCGGAGGTTGAGTGTGGCAGGGTACTACCCAGCAAGAGAAAAGGCCATGACCTCCTGTCTCAAGCCCATTTAACATAACAGAAAAGAGTCTCATTCCACATAACATTCACAGGGGTTACTCACGGCTCAGCTTCAATGCTCTGGTCAGCGGCTATGTAGTTGGCAGGGATGTAGCCCGTGAGCTTGCGGCCAGGACAGACTGACCCCTCTGGCAGAAGGAGCTTGGCATACCACCATCCCTCATGGGATGCATTCAGCACTTCCAGCTTATCCCCAGCTCGGAAGCTCAAGTCGTCCTCAGTGCGAGCATCATAGTCGAACAATGCCACAAAGTTGCAGATGTTTGCTAGATCCTGGCCAGGCAATGGAGGTAAAGGTTTCTCTTTTATCTTACTCTCTAAGTCCTTCTGTCCTGCTTGGAGGTCAGGTTTTACCACAGCAAGGTTGGTGAAGATCTGGCCTCCTTTGTCTTCCTGCTCACAGTTTGTCCTGAAGAATAAGCAGGGAAGGTAAGGCTCCAAACAGGGACAGTGCTTCTGGCAGAAGTTTCCCATCCTGATTCTTTGTTGCTTCCTCTGCTTCTGCTTTTCTTCTGCTTTTCCTGGTTGCAAGACTCTTAGATCAATTTTTGCACCATCCACATCTTAGCTTTTTGTGGATTTCTTCTCCCACTTCTCCTTTGGCACAAAATGAAACAGCTCTTGGCACAGCTGGAAGCTTCTCTCTGCGTCCCAGGGAGAGCTCATTACAGACGGCTCCCAATTAGGGAGTGAAGCCTAGCATTCAAGTGCCAGCGCACGTGTGGAGGGAATTTTTTACTTCCTCTTCAGAACAGGAAAGCAACACAACAGCTGTGCTGAGCTCTGAGAACAACAGCAAAGTGAGAAGCCTCTTCTGTTACAGCAAAACAATGAAGCAAGAACATGTAAATAAGGGAGGTTTTTCAATTCCTTCTGCTCAGGATGGATGTTTTCTTATCTCAGATGTGGTCTGGTCATACGATCAGTGGTGAATGTCTGTCTTGGCAATGATTAACCAAACTGACCTGCCTGCTTCCTCAGCAGTCTGACGTGGACAGGTTGAATTTTTGTTTCCTGGTTTGTACTGGTTTCGTTTCACAGTGGGAAGCCTTTGCTTGCCTGAGACTGGCAGACGCCCTCACCAGGAGGAGTGCACCTGTGGCTCCTGCCCTCACTCACACCTGGGCACATTCCCTGCCAAGTACCACCCCCCAAACCAACCCTCTGGGTTTTTTTATTTTTATTTTTTTATTCAGCTTGGATGGGTACTTTTTACAAGGAAAACCAAATATGTATGGTTTACAGTAATAAAGCAGCATATTTTAAGTCATTCCTTATTCTGCATTTTAAGGAAACCAAGGCATTAGCCAAAAATCATTTCTCTAAGTGGCTGGCTAATTAAATCAACCCTATATAAAAATAATGGTTTTCCAGTCACCCTGTAAACAGTTACAATGCATTGACCAGTATATTTCTATTTCTAAAGCATCTCTAACCCAGCATACAGACCAAACATGGGCATCTGGATACTGCTGTGGCAAAGCAGGCTGAAGGGCTGGCTGCCGTATCACAGCGGTGCAACCCAAAATTGTAACTCCTGGAAATCACCACAGACTGGGGGACACAGAATGGTTGGAGCAGGAGCAGGGAGCACAGAAGATACAGATAGCCTGTCTGCACACAGTGGTGGCATTTCAGTAAGAGACAAACTCTTACAGATCAGAGTCTATTTATTGAGACCAATCAAAATTCAGATATGGACCTATCATTTCCTTGAGATTAAAACACCCAGGTCCCTTTTTTTTTTCTAACAGGAATTTGGTGCTGCTTTCCTAAACCAATTACACATCTCTCAGTTCCATGTAGAGTCTTCTGTAGTTTTACTTTACTAGAAAGAAAACCACTAAATAACAGAAACTAAAGTCACTTGCTTTCATCATGTCTCTCATTCATTTGAATGAGATCAGTGGCAGAGGCAAAAGGCTACTGATGAACTAGGGACTGTGGGATGACTAAAAGATATCCCCATTGAAAGTGATAATGTTGATATCAGGTGCATCTCCACTGAAGAGGAATGGGACCTGCTTACACAGACTTCTGCAATGCTGCAAAAGAAATTAAATAAAGGAGGAAGTACCATACACATCAATTCGTCACTTACACATCAAGTCGTCACTAACTCTCATCATCTTTAGGGTCTGGTAAAAAAGGTATGCTGATTTTGCAGATTATGATAATCTTATTTAGTTTCTGAAGCACCACTGGAGATGATTTTTTGCCAGTAATTATTAACCACATAATAGTAAGAACACAGATATCCAAGAGATATTTACTTTTCCTCAGTGTGAGTAACAATATCCAAAGGAAACAAAAACCTATATTGATAAAGAAACTATGTTCATTGGTCCTGTTTAAAGAATTGTCTACATTTACTGAAAGCAGAGAATATTAGAAACTACTACTAAGTAATCTGGCAATTTTCAGTTTCCATATACAATTGACTTTTCCTTTAATGTTTTTTGGTTCTGGCAGTTTGAGCTTTAATTTGGCAAAGCTTTGCAAACTCCTTTACTGCCCAGAATAGTTTCATCTTGACAACAAAGCCATTTGCATCATGCAGAATCAAGCTGTACAATGCACAACCATTTTCAGGATCAAGTCCCACCTTTACACTCAGGAACCAATATACAAACACATTAGAAATCACACTGCATTCACTGAAACCACTCAGATAAGTATTTATAACTGTAACTACAACAGGACTTAAGCCTACAAATAGTTGTGTATATGACTACCTTATCTCAAAGAGCTCCAGGCATTAAATTCATCTTCTCCTTCAATTTGTCTCTCTGCTTGTCTTTAGAAGAACAGAAAGACTTTTTCTGGAAGTGATCAATAACTATAAATCAGATTCTTTTCATCCTGATCTTCAGGACCAGTTCTATATATTAACCAAATAGACTAACAAATAGCCATTAAATTTATTAATCAGATTTAAAAGGCTCCTCAAAAAGAGAGAAGATTGGAGCTGCTGAGAACCACGGAGCAGATTTCCTATCCCATGTGGGACAGGACAAGTGAGCTGTGGTGGCCACGCTGCAGCACTTCTGTAAGGGTCTTTGTTCCCATCCTGGTGACTTTATTGAGGATTCACTGCATTTCTAAAAATAAAGAAGTACTCTTAATCGTTTAGAGACTATATAATTTTATCACAGGCAAGAAAAGAAAATTAGCATGTAATAAAATTGTTCTTGCTGGTTTTACAGAAAAAAATAAAATCCGAAAAATCTCATAATCCCGATCTTCATATTCACAGTTTGGAACAAATGAGGGTACTCATGTATACTCAGGGGCTTTTCAATATAAACTGTTGTTCAAGTTGTCTGCATTCATATTACATATAATTTAATAAAATAATCTTTGCATTACTTATTCTTTGGCTTAAGTTATTGCTTTTGTCTTGCATCCCACTATATTTTCCTTTTTTTGGAAAAGGAGACCAAACAATTCTGCATTGCTCTTTGGCCTTCTGTATCTTTATTTAATTTGTTTTGGAGTCTGAATACCAGAGCAGAAATTGTTAAAAAAAAATAAGCTACTAGAGGCAAAGTGACTATAAAAGACTTAATCAGAGATATTGATTAATTTTATTGGCAAAAATACTTTAAGAAGGATACAAGGGTTTCACCTCATTCTTACAGCCAACACTAGCTAGCAAGAAAGATGAATGTATTATAACCAGAATGGCACATTTACAATGTGAAAACTGAAATTTAGTATTCCAGTCCCTATATTATAAAAAAATGCCAAACACTAATATTGCAAGTAATATCTTAAAATATGCAATGCCTTGAAACAAAGATTGATCATTGAAAAGCTGTGTCTGACAGAACTACGTAAACTTAGACTTTGGAAAAGAGAGCTAATCTATTCAATCAAGCAGTACTTTCCCCCTTCAAGCTATGTAATTTCCCATTGCTTTTAATGTGTATTTCCTTGTTCCATAAAGCAAAGAGTGCATACTGATACTATAGGTTTGAGGATGGCGATTACCTGAAGTTACTTTTTATATTCTATATATTGACTATCAAGTTCAGTATAAGCAAGACTATTACAAGGAGCATTACACCTGCTTAAAGGATTTATTAGAAGTCCTCTAAATCCATTAAATCAAATTCTAATTAACTTACAGTCAATATCCCTTAGGCCTTATTCTACAAAACAATCATGTTTAAACATGGTGGTGAAACATATTTCTCTTAGTTGACTGAAGGGATGGAAGAATAACATGTTAACATTACATCCTTCAGTAAACTTAGTGCAAAACTAATCTGAAACACTGACATTAATAGAAGTGATCTTGGAATCAGGTCCTGCTCTGCATGAATTAAGGTATCACATTAAGTTGTATAAAAGTACAAGTACATATAAGATTTGAATCCACAATATTTCAAAAGCCTTGCTTTGATATAAATCCTATTTGTGTTACATGCCTTCAAAAATTATTTTGCATGGGTTTGCATTACAGATATTTCCTACAATTGTTGGTTTGTATGTGCTCTGTATGGAACTATTGGCATAAATACATAAAAACTTGGGAGTTTCAGAAAAAATGAACCCTCCTCCAATACATAAATGTGCTGGTTCATATTTGAGAGGCAAGGAGTGAACATCACTGAAACTCGGTCTTTAGTACTGATGATACATGCTGTTTGAAACTGTTCCCCTATGTCATGCTGAGAAGAATTGCAGTCTGAGCTGTGCTCTGCTGGGGAAAAAGGAATATTCCAAGGCAATGCCCATCAACAGTTTTGTTATGAATTATGAGTCAGTTGAAATTGGAAATTAAAAAAGAGAGTGTTTTTTCTTAATGAGATCACAACAGAAACAAACATTTTCATTCATAATTGTGTTGAATTCTGTAAAAGGAAAAAAAACTACATGTAGAAAAATAGAAATTAAGGTATAAAATACAATAATTGTAATTAAATAATCTATGATGCCTGTAGCATCACTTTTCATACTGTACAATCTTTTTTAAGCCAGTAGTTATACAGCTACATTTAATTTATGCTTGTTTAAATATTTGACATTACTACCTTACTTAGAAAAACTTCATAATGCATTATGGCAAGTCAGGCCATTCAGCAAAGTGAAACATTCAAATAATGTGATCTTTAAAGAAGCTAGCAGAAAACCAAAAGCATTTTGCTTTGAATCTATTCTTGGGGAATAATTTAAATTACTAACCATTTTAAAGTTGTGTAGTTTGTCTAAGGTAACAAACAGAAATAAAGCACAGTGATTTTTTTTTACTACAGCTGTCTTCAGCTATATTTCTTTCCATTTGCACATTAAAATGGAACACATTACTACCACTTTGTAGCTTTTTTATATTCCTTTTAATCAGCACTCCTATTTTGTTTCTCTAATTTGCAAATTGCCATTTTTTTCAGTGAAAGTAAATTATGTGCGTAATATTGCCCTTGACAAAATTATTTACTCTTATTGATTAATCACTTTCCTGATTTTGTCTATTATCTTAAACCATAAATCCATGAAGACGTAGAGTTATATTTGATCCTGCATTTTCCAGCTTGAAATCTTTTTACATTTGTAATGAGAAAACTCTGGCTATTTATTTCCATAAGGCTGATCCAGTAATCCATCTCTACCCTGGAAAACATTAAAAGTATACTTTCAAGTGCTTTGGTGATGAGGGCTGCTTATTTATTAGCTGAATTTGGGCCTGAAGCACGCTACATCTGACAACAAATTAACAGAGAGAAATAAGGTTCTGTCAAAGATTGACTGAATAGAGACTTCCTCTATTTGCTCAAACAAACAGATCCCACTTTGCTCAAATTTAATGTGAGTTTTGCCATTATATGCAATGGGACCAGACCTCAAACATTATTTTTCATTTCATTGTACATTATTCTAAATT